ATTCCCTAAGCTTAGGTCATGCAAAGTTTTATTAGAATTAGTCAAGTCTTTCTATACTATTAGGTCTGAGGACACAGTTATCGTCCTTAGATTTTCGTTGTCTACAAATATAGTCCCTAGTGTGGACAGTGTATAACTTGCAAATTTTTTTCATACACTTTCCAAATTCATTTCTTTATATTTTATGCATGAAATATTAAGAAAGGGGATGAAAGTACATGTTAAAAAAATTTGGGTGCTGAATCTTTATGTAAAGTAGTGATTTGGTCCAGTTAAAAAAGGTCAAAAACTAGTATGCCTGAAGCTGTCAAACTGATTTTTAGACCCCCTTAACATAGAATTGTCAATATTTTGAGTTAGAGCTGGTAGACTTTTCTATAATTTTGATATTATTTGTCCCAATAGTAGTACACTACACTGTAAAAATCTTTTTGAGATAGAGCAGGTGCGATTTTTTTAATTTGACTTTATTGTCTAAAAGAAATGCACTACGAAATAACTGTGTTCTCGGGCCACTTAGTTGTATTTTAAGTAGATAAATTATACAAGTTATTTATATTGAATATTATAGAGCTTAATCATTGTGTTTATATAGATAACTGGAAGATGTAATACTATATTGAAATTTTATACTACAACTTTATTCATCTGGTTATAACACAACCACTTATTGATTAAATTTTTAAATGTTTAGATTATTTCATAATCTATAATGTTTAAACAAATTAGAAAAAGGCAGTTATTGTTTTGTTATAAATTAGGCTGATAGCTTTCTCAATTGAATTGTTTCATATTTTTCATGTCAGGCCTTTTATAGCCGACCATACAGTATGGATTTTTCTCATTGTTGAAGGCCGTACAGTTGCCTATAATTGCTTACATCCACTTCATTTGTACTTTGGTGGATAGTTGTCTCATTGGCCATCATACCACATCTCCTTATTTTTATAGTATAAATGAAAAATTAAAATACAAATAAAATTAGATTTGAAGAAATGCATTGAAATTATCTTTTTAATTAGGTGACAAAAAATTTACTTGAAATCACCACCAATTACTTTTATCCTTCTAGTGTACTACATAGAGTTAAAAAAAAAAAAACAGCATTTTGAGATACATACTCTTCTAGTGTAATACCTGAAGTAAAAAAAACAAACAATATTTTGAGATACAGCCTTCAAGTTTGCTGGTGTAATAATGTTTGCATGGTTACACTTTGCACAGCTTTTTTTATTCAAATGAAGACATGGCCACTTATTGTAATGAAGATATGGCCACTTATTGTAATGAAGACATGTCCACTTATTAAAATTAAGACGTGGTCGCTTATTCAAATGAAGACATGGCCACTTATTCAAATAAAGACATGGCCACTTATTTCAAATGAAGACATGGGCACTTATTGTAATGAAGATATGGCTACTTATTCAAATTAAGACATGGCCGCTTATTCAAATGAAGACATGGCCACTTATTCAAATAAAGACATGGCCACTTATTTCAAATGAAGACATGGCCACTTATTGTAATGAAGATATGGCTACTTATTCAAATTAAGATGTGGCCGCTTATTCAAATGAAGACATGGCAACTTATTCAAATGGAGACATGGCCACTTATTGTAATGAAGATATGGCCACTTATTGTAATGAAGATATGGCCACTTATTGTAATAAAGACCTGGCCACTTATATAAATGAAGACATGGCCACTTACATATATTAGAGTGAAGCAATGGCCACTTATTAAAATAAAGACATGGCCATTAATTGTAAAATGAAGACATGACCACTTATTGTAATGAAGACATGGCCACTTATTGTAATGAAGACATGGCCAGTTATTAAAATGAAGACATGGCCACTTATTAAAATGGAGACATGGCCACTTATTGTAATAAAGACATGGCCACTTATTAAAATTAAGACACAGCCTCTTATTGTAATGAAGACATGGCCACTTATTGTAATGAAGACATGGCCACTTATTTAAATGAAGACACAGCCACTAATTAAAATGAAGACATGGCCACTTATTAAAAAGAAAACATGGCCACTTATTTAAAATGAAAAAATGGCCACTCATTGTTATGAAGACATGGCCACTTATTGTCTTCATACTCTGGATTCATTCATTTTCACTGGTTCCATATTTTTGTCTCGCCTGCAACGAAAGTCGCAGTATGCGAGACATAGTTATTTCTATCTGGCTGCGGCAGTGGCGTAAACTATTTGTATAAAGCTTTATATTTCAGAAGGTAGAAGACCTGGATGCTTCGTATCTTGTATGCAGATACCTTATGTTACGAAGTTTCCGACTGTCATATGTCCAATGTCCTTGACCTCATTTTCATGGTTCAGTGACTGCTTGAAAACAAATTTAAGTGTTTTTGTAATGTGAATTTCTCACTTATTATGAGTAATAGGATAACTGTATTTGTTATATAGGTTCCTTTCAACGTCTACATGACCTTCAGACAGGATTCATCTGACCTCGACCTCATTTCATGGATCAGTGATCAAGGTTAAAGTAACTTGATTAGGTCTGTTTCTCAAATACTATAAGCAGTAGGATAACTATATGTTGTGTATGGAATGACTGTAATGGGTCCATGTCATTCTGGCAGGTTTCATCTGACCTTGACCTCATTTTCATGGGTCATTAGTCAATGTTAAGTTTTTATGTTTTGGTCTGTTTTTGAAGTACTATAAGCAATAGGTCAAATATATGTGGTATATGGAATGATTGTAAGGTGTACATGTCTGTCTGGTAGGTGTCATCTGACCTTGACCTCATTTACATGGTTCATTGGTCAATGTTAAGTTTTTATACGCCTGTTTACAGGACGAATTATGGTATACCGTTGACCGTCTGTCTGTCTGTCCGTTCGTCTATCCGTCCGTCCGTTGTCAACATGTCGGACATTAACTCAAAAACGCTTCAACCAATATGCATGAAACTTTGGTGAATTGTTTATATCTATTGACGTGAGCTCCCTTTCGTTTTTTATAAATATCGGATTTACCGTTTCCGAGTTTTGGGGTTTTATTCATTAAAAAAGGGGGGACTTTCCAGTTTGTGGACAATAACTCAAAAACAATTTCACCAATTTGCAAGAAACTTTGATGAATTGTTTATTTATATCGACATGAGTTCCCTTTTGATTTTTATAAATTTTAGACCATATGTTTCCGATTTATGGGGTTTTATTCATTACAAAAACGGGGATTTTCCAGTTTTCGAACAATAACTCAAAAATGCTTTCAGCATTTTTTATGAAACTTTGGTGAATTGTTTATATCTATTCAGTATTGATGTAAGCTCCCTTTAGAATTTTATAAATTTTACATTTTACATTTCCGAGTTGTGGGGTTTTATTCATTAAAATAGGGGGGATTTTCCAGTTTTTGGACAATAACTCAAAAACAATTTCACCAATTTGCAAGAAACTTTGGTGAATTGTTTATTTCTATCGACATGAGCTCCCTTTTGATTCTTTTAAATTTTAGACTATATGTTTCCGATTTATGGGGTTTTATTCATTACAAAAAGGGGGATTTTCCAGTTTTCGGACAATAACTCAAACATGCTCTCAGCATTTTTTATGAAACTTTGCTAAATTGTTTATATCTATTCTTGTAAGCTCCCTTTTGATTTTTATAAATTTAAGATTTTATGTTTCCGAGTTATAAGATTTTATTCATAAAAAAAGGGTTGATTTTCAAGTTTTTGGACAATATCCTTAAAGTGCTTAGAGCAGTTTTCATTAAACTTTGATGACTGATTTATATCTATTAAGATAACCTCCCTTTAGTTATTTATAAATTTCTGATATAACATTGAGAAGTTATTGTTTGTTTATAGTCTGACAACAGATTAACTAAGTATTGCGCAACAGCACAGGGTATTGCACAACAGCAAGAAATCTTTAATTGAATATAAATTCAATTCATATAACCAATTTCAAGTTCTTTGACTACATTTATTCAGAAACCTATAATATGTCAAATATTTAATTACAATCCAAATTCAGACCTGTATCAAGCTTGAATATTGTGTCCATTTTTGCCCCAACTGTTCAGGGTTGGACCTCTGCAGGCGTATCCAGCTGCGCTCAGTGAAGCAGTTTATTATGTTTTGGTCTGTTTTTGAAGTACTATAAGTAATTGGTCAACTATATAGTTAATGTATAAAATGATTGTAAGGTATGCACATCATTCTAGCCAGTATCATATGACCTTGACCTCATTTTCATGGTTCATTGCATTGGTCAATGTTAAGTTTTTGTGTTTCTGACTGTTTTTCAAATTCTTTAAGTAATAGGTCAGCTATATTTGATGAATGAAATAATTGTAAGGTGTACATGTCTGTCTTGCATGTATTATCTGACCTTGACCTAATATTCATGGTTCATTGTTACATTTTCATAATTTTGTCAGTCTATCAGATACTATAAGCAACAGGTCAACTATATTTATTCTATTGAATGATTGTAAGGTGTACATGTCTGTCTTGCCTGGTTCATCTGACCATGACCTCATTATTATAGAACATTTATAATTTTAAGTGTATGTGATACTTGTGGTAAAAACTTCATGTTACAGACTTTCAACATAAATTCAATGATAAGTAAAACAGGCGAGACATTTCAGCATGTGCACTCTTGTTCGTTTATTTCAAGAAGAATTGTATTTTTTATGGATGTTTGATTTCCTGGTATTGCCAAAGTATGCATACAGGCCAGGCCTATAAAAAAATTGCATATTGTTGATCAATTTGTACTTCACCTGTACCAGGAAATTCACAAAAACTGGTATACCATGAAATATAGTTAATCGCAGTTACTACATTTCTTCAACATTACTTGGAGACTTTACCAAACTTTGTCTCTTATCAAGTTCTATTAGAATTTCATTGCTGTTCATATTTGTATTTCAGCTTTTAGATCTCCTTGTATTCCAGACAATTTCTATAGATTGTCTGTATATTTCTATTTTTAGTAATGGTTTCCCAGGATCTCAACCTGTTTCCATGGATATCAATAATTTAGATTATCTTAGAAAAAAAGAATATAAAGTCAGCTGGAAGGCTGATGGTACAAGGTAGGAAACATGATTGTCAGCTGGAAGGCTGATGGTACAAGGTAGGAAACATGATTGTCAGCTGGAAGGCTGGAAGGCTGATGGTACAAGGTAGGAAACATGATTGTCAGCTGGAAGGCTGATGGTACAAGGTAGGAAACATGATTGTCAGCTGGAAGGCTGATGGTACAAGGTAGGAAACATGATTGTCAGCTGGAAGGCTGATGGTACAAGGAAGGAAACATGATTGTCAGCTGGAAGGCTGATGCTACAAGGTAGGAAACATGATTAAGCTGGAAGTCTGATGGTACAAGGTAGGAAACATGATTGTCAGCTGGAAGGCTGATGGTACAAGGTAGGAAACATGATTGTCAGCTGGAAGGCTGATGCTACAAGGTAGGAAACATGATTAAGCTGGAAGGCTGATGGTACAAGGTAGGAAACATGACTGTCAGCTGGAAGGCTGATGGTACAAGGTAGGAAACATGATTGTCAGCTGGAAGGCTGATGGTACAAGGTAGGAAACATGATTGTCAGCTGGAAGGCTGATGGTACAAGGTAGGAAGCATGACTGTCAGCTGGAAGGCTGATGGTACAAGGTAGGAAACATGATTGTCAGCTGGAAGGCTGATGGTACAGGGTAGGAAACATGATTGTCAGCTGGAAGGCTGATGGTACAGGGTAGGAAACATGATTGTCAGCTGGAAGGCTGATGGTACAAGGTAGGAAACATAAATATGATAACAAGTTGACATGATGTAAGGATCCAATTTTAATTACTGTAAATTCAGAAATTATTGCGTGCATTTATAATTGCGATTTTTGAAGACTGAACAAAAATGTGAGATTGATAATTGCGATTTCAGGAAAAGCTTCATGCATATATATGTGTCCGATATCAGAATGTGAGCTCTTATTATTGTGATATTTACCCAGTCGCATTAATAAAAACCTCGCAATAATTTCTTAATTTACAGTAATATGAATCCCATCCTGCATTTGTCCTGGTTTGTTATGATAAAAAGTAGACATGTTGTAAACTTGTGAGTAGGTAAGCTTTTAAGTGGAAATACTTCTGACTTAGAAAATGTAATGTTTACACTACAATATGGGTTATTTCCCAATGATACATCAACCCAAGAATACAATACAACCAAAATAGAAATCTAGGGAGTATGTGACAATTCATTTATTCCCCAAAAGTAAAACTATTTTACTATTGGTTGTTAACAATTACCCTACATAGTACAATATTTCAAATTAGTGTTTTCCTGTTTATTTCATTTTGCACCTTATTGAATGAACCAGATGATTCGAATGAATATATTCAAATGGGTTAATCATGTTAATGTCTTAAAAGACTCTTTGTATTAAAAAAATCTAGTTAACATATAAAAATAAGAAGATGTGGTATGGTTGCCAAAGAGATGCAAAAGATACCAAAAGGGACATACACAACATAGAAAACTAAAGACTGAGCAACACGAACCCACCAAAAATGAGACAACTCTCCACCAGAGACCAAATGGCATAGAAGTTAACAACTATAGGTCACAGTACGCTCTTCAACAATAAGCAAAACCCATAGCATAAGTTCTCTTTTTTCTCAATTTAGTTGCAACACATTTCATTTTTTATTCATAAGCTTATTGTAATCTTTGACATTTTTGTATTGTTTGAGGATTTTCAAAAACTTTGGCCTTGAACATTGCTGAAGGGACATTATTTGTCCAAATGAGTATCTGGTGCAGTTAAATTGGTACTGCTAATGTTATTGTTGCTCTAATACTCATTTATGTGTTGTTGTCATGTTATACTTTGTTTTAAGGAGTTACTCCATCTTATAGAAGATAAACATGGATTACTTCCCTTTTATAGCAGATACACTTTGATTACTTCCCTTTTATAGCAGAAAAACTTAAATTACTTCCCTTTATAGCAGATAAACTTTGATAACATCCCTTTTATGGCAGATAAACTTAAATTACTTTCCTTTTATGGCAGATAAACTTAGATTACTTCCCTTTTATGGCAGATAAACTTAGATTCCCTTTTTTTCAGATTCATGATGTTAATTGATGGTGCTAATGAGGTTTACATGATTGACAGAGATAATGCAGTATTCCACGTCCCAAATCTACACTTCCCCTATCGTAAAGATTTAAGTAGAACTTTAAAGGATACGCTAGTAGATGGGGTATGTATAATTGACAAACATACAGTATTCCACGTCCCAAATCTACACTTCCCTTATCGTAAAGATTTAGGGAGAACTTTATAGGATACATTAATGGATGGGGTGTGTATAATTGACAGACATTAAATCATGTCTCAAATCATTACTTCTGCTATCTTTAAACTGCAATTAACAGCAAATATAGAAATTCAAATTTCTTTGATACACTATACATTTCAGCTCACCTGAATTTTGAATTTTTCAACTATCCATGGTGAAAGTGGGCACAACCTGTATTTGTACCCACCTTTCATAGCTAAATGCAAATGCTTTTGGTTATTTTTAGTTATTAGAAATATTTATACAATATGTTTGAAAATATGAAAAAAAATTATTGTATTCAATGTTTAACAAAATTGTCTGTTAAATTTGAGAGGGATTTCCCATGGTAGGCAGTTGGACTAACCATCATGACCATAAGATCCAACCGAACTGTAGTCTACATTATTAGCTCACCTTGTCCACAACTATCAAACTATGATGGATAGAGAAAAACTTCAAAAGCAAAAATGTTGAGCAAAGCAAGACCAAGAAATATGTCTGCTTGATTGAAATCATCAATTGATCCCTTATAGGATTTATAGCCGATAAAAGACTATTTTTACAATTTTTTTTAGTTTTTCACAGAAACTATAATAGAAAGATAGAATCTTTATAGGGCAAAAATATTTATCAAAGTAAGACCTACAAATAAGTCAAATAATCAAAATTGTCAATTTACCCTTATATTAGAGAGTTATTACCAATTTTTAAATTTATTTGCAGAAACTATCATCGATAGAGAGAAATTTTAAAAGGCATGTTTAAACACATATTAATATACATTAAACAGCAAAATAATCATTGATGCAGATCTGCACAAAAAAAATTCCAGGTGAGCTATTCAGGCTCTTAGGAGTTTCTTGGTCTCATTGAAACCTGCCACAATGGCTCTTTTTATGGCCAAGCCGGCTAAGGTTGGGGCCATATAGTTTTACCCTTGTCCGTCATTCCGTCTTTCCGCAACAAACAGTTATACAGACTTTTTTTTCGAAATGCCTTCACATATTGAGCTGATCTTTAGTATGTGATTCAACTATGATGAATTATAGATCGAGTCTACGTTTGGTTCTGTTCCGCTGAATTCTGCCAAAATAAAGTGCTTTTGACTTTGAAAATTTCCACTCTTAAAAAGGGCTTCAAGCTTTATTTGCAACCAGGCCATTTGTGTCATTCCAACACATCTAGCTTCTATATAATCTGCAAGATGGTTATTAAGTCTCCCAAACGAAGTTTGGGAAGACTTATTGTTTTTGCTCAGTTATTATTATTATTATTCTTCTTCTTCTTCTTCTTCCGCCGCTTTTAAATTTGAACTTGTCCGCACCTGTTCTCCTAAACCGCTTGTCAGATTAACTTAGGGTTTCACAATATGTTAGACTAACATGTTTAGTGGTGCAATCAGGGTTTTGTTTGTGCAATGGGGTTTATAAAGGGGTACTTTGAGGGGCAAAAAGAAAAGAGGGTTTTACTATAGAACCCTATGGGATTTTATTTTTTTAAATTTTCAAATGATTATAAATTGAAAACCGTTTGTGATAGACACAATCTTTTAAATTGAAAATGTTCTAAATGATAAAGCCCATTAAATGAAATATAGGGTTAGTCCCCAGGGGTCACCCCCACCCCCTGCCATTTAAGAAAGTTCTAATATCTTCTAAGTGGTCAAGATCCCCACCCCTAAACCATATATATTCTGGTTTGTCATGCTAAGATGGTATGAATGATATACAGGGTTAGTCCCCAGGGGTCATCCCGACCCCCTGCCATTTGATTAATTTCTAATATCTTGTAAATGGTCGAGATCCCCACCCCTAAACCAAATATATTCTGGTTTGTCATGATAAAGCACATCAAATGAAATACAGGGTTAGTCCCCAGGGGTCACCCCCACCCCCTGCCATTTAAGAAAGTTCTAATATCTTGTAAGTGGTCAAGATCCCCACCCCTAAACCATATATATTCTGGTTTGTCATGCTAAGATGGTTTGAATGATATACAGGGTTAGTCCCCAGGGGTCATCCAGACCCCCTGCCATTTGAGAAAGTTCTAATATCTTGTAAATGGTTCGGATCCCCACCCCTAAACCATATATATTCTGGTTTGTCATGATAAAGCACATCAAATGAAATACAGGGTTAGTCCCCCGGGGTCACCCCCACCCCCTGCCATTTAAGAAAGTTCTAATATCTTGTAAGTGGTCAAGATCCCCACCCCTAAACCATATATATTCTGGTTTGTCATGCGAAGATGGTTTGAATGATATACAGGGTTAGTCCCCAGGGGTCATCCCGATCCCCTGCCATTTGAGAAAGTTCATATATCTTGTAAATGGTCGAGATCCCCACCCCTAAACCATATATATTCTGGTTTGTCATGATAAAGCACATCAAATGTAATACAGGGTTAGTCCCCAGGGGTCACCCCCACCCCCTGCCATTTAAGAAAGTTCTAATATCTTCTAAGTGGTCAAGATCCCCACCCCTAAACCATATATATTCTGGTTTGTCATACTTAGATGGTTTGAATGATATACAGGGTTAGTCCCCAGGGGTCATCCCGACCCCCTGCCATTTGAGAAAGTTCTAATATCTTGTAAATGGTTGAGATCCCCACCCCTAAACCATATATATTCTAGTTTGTCATGATAAAGCACATCAAATGAAATACAAGGTTAGTCCCCAGGGATCACCCCCACCCCCTGCCATTTAAGAAAATTCTAATACCTTGTAAGTGGTCAAGATCCCCACCCCTAAACCATATATATTCTGGTTTGTCATGCGAAGATGGTTTGAATGATATACAGGGTTAGTCCCCAGGGGTCATCCAGACCCCCTGCCATTTGAGAAAGTTCTAATATCTTGTAAATGGTCGAGATCCCCCACCCCTGAACCATTTATATTCTGGTTTGTCATGATAAAGCACATCAAATGTTATACAGGGTTAGTCCCCAGGGGTCACCCCCACCCCCTGCCATTTAAGAAAGTTCTAATATCTTCTAAGTGGTCAAGATCCCCACCCCTAAACCATATATATTCTGGTTTGTCATGCTGAGATGGTTTGAATGATATACAGGGTTAGTCCCCAGGGGTCATCCCGACCCCCTGCCTTTTGAGAAAGTTCTAATATCTTGTAAATGGTTGAGATCCCCACCCCTAAACCATATATATTCCTGTTCGTCATGTAATGAACATTTGAATGACGTATCGGGCCAGTCCCCAGGGGTTCATCCCCACCCCCAATGTTCTAGTATCTTGTAAATGGTCGAGATCCCCACCCCTAAACCATATATATTCTGGTTTGTCATGCGAAGATGATTTGAATGATATACAAGGTTAGTCTCCAGGCATCACTAATGCATATAACTTTACTGGACCAAACCAATTTTCACTGGACGTTTCCCAATGTCAGGCGACCCTGGGAATTACGAATTATGGGAGCTTCGTTTGGGAGACTTCGTAACAGCATCCTGTTACAATCATTTCTTGTTGATTATAGGAACTGCAGATTATTGTCAGGAGTAAAGGAACTTTTGTATGAAAAGCATGTATTATTTTAGCCTGCAATGCACTTGTATCCCCCTCAATAACCCCCGGATCCTTCCTGAAAAAATTTTCACCACACTTGTCACACAACTCTTTTGTGGTATTCAAAAATGAATGTGTACATTTGGCATCCAGTTACTCATGAATTTGTGTATATTTTGTAGGAGATGATTTTAGACAAAGTGGATGGCATTGATGTACCTAGATATTTGATTTATGATATCATCTATTTCATGGTAAGTTTTTATATGTATGAAACTGCTTTAAGGATGTTTTCTTAGGGAGAAAAACTCATTAACCATTTTGTGAACCAGAAATTAGACATAAATAACCATGATAACAATAAAAAGTAAAATCCAGTTCGTATATTCACCTCTATGAGGTCACGATAGGTTTAACAAAATACAGATTAAAGGGCAAAATAATAAAGAATGGAGATTAATGGGATGCTAAAATATGAAAAATAAAGAATATAGAATAATTGGCAACAAAAATAAAGAATAGAAAAAGAAAAAAAATAATGAAGATGGTCAACTTCCTAGTGAGACCCTCTTTTATCAGAAGAAGATTATATCTTAAGTTAACCTCATGACACTGCATTTTGAAACAATAGTATGCAATAGTGGTGACACTTCCCCAAATGCTGACATTTTCTAGGCACATGTCCATATAAAAATACTTTTTTCAAAACAAAATAATTACTGGAAATCTCTGCCTCAATAGTCTATTTACCATTACTGACTTGATTCTGTTATAACACACTTTTAACACAAGTTGTTTCCTTTGCCAAATGTAGTCTGGTTCTAAATCAGACAAAAATGGGCTGCTGCAAAACATGATAAGTTGAAATTGATGTTTTTGCTTTTTAACCAAATCTTCTGTGCATTTTTCCAAAAATTGTTCAGCTCTCAACTTTAAAACCCCTTTCAGTTTGAGTTGAATTAGTGGTATAGCAGAAAATTTCGGCCTTCCAATGTTTACACAGTAAATGGAATAACCCTGATTACTCTAATATGCATCATAATATACATATTTTTTTTCAAGCAGCCAGGGCTCTCTATGATGGCTCCCATCACTATCCTCTAGTCTAAATTTATTTTTAGGGTCAAGAAGTTGGCAAGACTGATTTCCGAACGCGGTTAGTTTGTATAGAGAAAGAACTCATTGGAACCAGACATGCAAAGATGAAGACTGGAGAAATTGATAAGGCAAAAGAACCATTTAGCGTTCGGTTAAAACCTTTCTGGGATGTCTCAGTTTGTAGGAAGGTAAGGAAAACTGATTTTGAATGGATTTGAGAAAAAGTTAAATTCAAAGCTGGTTTTAATAGTGAAAACTTTTAAACAGACACATCTAAAGGTAGCACGTCTCTAAATATAGACAATGCAATTTCCCATAGGAACTCCTTTTATGCCTAAAACACTGCCACTTTCAAAAAAATTATATCCTAGAATGGAAAGTTTATATGCACTACTATTTTTTTCAAAGGTCAAAACATAGGGCTGTGCAGCATATTTTCAACATTTATATGCCTTAAACTTCTAAGAGTTTAAACTTGTACTAAAATTCTGTACTAACCCTCCCTTCACTTTGCGTCTTCCTCAGAATTCAATTTGAACAATTTGAACAATATCAATGTGTAATTATACTAGTAAAATTCCTAACTTGTGAGATGAAACAGAGATTATATCTGGGAACCAGTAGGTAAACAAAATAAAATATCTATGAATATTATGAATATCTCCCCAAAAGAGACTTGGTTTGTAAAACAGCTGTACAAAGTGCAATCTATTGCTACAAACATGTTAATCACTATGTATCTTTTAAGTTTTATTGCATTGGTTTTTTGTAATCTAGGTAGGTGGTTCTCTACGGGCACTCTGGCTTCCTCCACCAATAAAAACTGACTGTCACGAAGTAGCATAATAGTGCTGAAAGTTGCATTTTACACCAATCAATCAATCAATCAATTTTGTAATCTCATAGCTGTAGACTCAACATTTGCCATGCACACACGAAAAATGATTAAAAAAAGGACTTAGCTTTCTTGCTGTTGAAAGGAAACTAAAATTGATTTTAACATTGATTTATTTTTATACCCTAGCTCCAAAGGTTTACTTCTGTCCATCTGTCCAAAACATCAAATTTTCTATGCAATTTCAAGTAATAGGTTCTTAAGATGTGGAACCTAGCTTCCTCCGGTTTAGCCATACTAAGAGACACTTTTTCAGTTCCTTTTTAAAATATATTCTTCCTGCTTACTAAAAACTTATGTGATGTCGTGCTTATTCAGGAATTTTTTGTCAGATTCTGTCAACAACATTGAGCAAGATATAATAAGTGAGCAATAGCTCACAGTACATCTTATTTTGTTTATGTTAAGAGATTAAAAGACAGAAAGATGGTAACATAAAAAAAATATATGACCAATAAATCAAAGATTTTGTTTTATGTTATTTTGAATTAAAGTTTTTTCTTTATTTAATGGCAAATAAATTGGTGTTTAGTAAGTTTTAAAAATATCAAAATGAACAAAGCAATGACATTAGCAATACCTTATATTGTAGGTTTTAGATGGAAGTTTTGCGAGTCAGGTTAGCCATGAAGTGGATGGTTTAGTATTTCAGCCTGTTCCAGACGTAAGTCAGTATATGTTGGAAAATTGAGTCAAATCAGCACGCTTAAAAAACAAGGGCTTTTCTAAATGTTTGCAATTATTAAATATTTCACTTGGATGTAAGTGAAGGCTAATTTTCACATATAACGTCAAGAAAAATTATAAGATATGTGCACACGAAAAAAACAGAACAATAGACCAAACCAATCACCAGCACCTGATCAATCCTTCCGAAAAACAATAGTACAGTTGACTCTTGAGATTTCAAAGCCTTTTATCTCAGATTCCTTTTTTCCCAAAGTAAAATGTTGTGCCAGATAGATCCACATTATGTTTTCCTCTTAATATCTCAAGTTATTTTTGTCAATTTGATAAACTTTGAGATAAGAGTTGACTGTACAAACCAAAGCAATAATGAACTACACATAGATCGCCTTACTTGGTTTTCACGAGACACACTGTATTTTTCCTTATAATTTTATTACTTGTGCTAATCATTTTTTGTTATTTTTTACCTTGAAGCCTTACTGTGCTGGGAGGTGTATGGAAGTGCTAATGACTTTTTCTTGTTATTTTTTTACCATGTAGCCTTGCTGTGCTGGGAGGTGTATGGAAGTACTAATGACTTTTTCTTGTTATATTTTTACCATGTAGCCTTACTGTGCTGGGAGGTGTATGGAAGTGCTAATGACTCTTTCTTGTTATATTTTTACTATGTAGCCTTACTGTGCTGGAAGGTGTATGGAAGTGCTAATGACTCTTTCTTGTTATATTTTTACTATGTAGCCTTACTGTGCTGGAAGGTGTATGGAAGTGCTAATAATTTTTTCTTGTTATTTTTTTACCATGTAGCCTTATTGTGCAGGGAGGCGTATGGAAGTGTTAATCATTTCTTCTTGTTTTATTTTTTTTTTTATCAAGTAGCCATACTGTGCAGGGAGGTGTATAGAAGTGCTAATGACTTTTTCTTGTTATATTTTTACCATGTAGCCTTACTGTGCAGGAGGTGTATTGGAAGTGCTAATGACTTTACTTGTTATATTTTTACCATGTAGCCTTACTGTGCAGGAGGTGTATGGAAGTGCTAATAATTTGTTCTTGTTATATTTTTACCATGTAGCCTTACTGTCCAGGAAGGTGTATGGAAGTGCTGAAATGGAAACCTCCTGAACTTAACTCTATAGATTTTAAACTAAAAATAGCAAAGGAAAATAAACCAGGGTAAGTCTAAGATCTTCAGATTTCAAATTTAAAATAAACCAATTCATATTTTTGACATACCGGTTTTAAAAGTTCATTTGAAAATCTAGTAACAGTTGAATAAATTTAAACCCTGTTTTTCTCTAAAATTTGTTCTTTCATCTTAAGACACCAGGTTATATATAGTTAAGATTGTCTCTCTTTACACTTCAAATTTATTAAATTATTATTTTCATATGTATCATAACTTTTCCATCAGTGACTGTTAAGAATACAATATACATCTCGATGGCTGACCGGCTTAAGTAGTTCATGTACAGTGATTGCTAGCCTAGCCTGTCTGCTCGGAGGTTATGAGTTCAAACCCTTCTCATGGCAAGGATCTTAGTTGTTAGGGGTTCTCTACCAAAGATCAATGTTCCCCATATAATTTGTTCTTTTAACCTTTAGACACCATCTGATGTATATTTCAACAACAACAAACAAAAAAACAACATCTAGACGAATTTATTTCAATCTTTATTTGAATTTTTCAATGTATTTTAAATAATAATATGATTTGAACAGAGAGGATGGCTATTGGTCAAAGGGAAATAATACAAACTGTAAATGTTTCCGTTGATGTGAAAATATAAACGCACACATTTCAATTTTTACTAATAACATTCCAGAACAATGTGAACAGTGACTACAGTGAAAAATCTGTAACTACAGTCTTTGATTAAAGTCAATTGTGTCTGTACCTCTGTAAGCTCTTAACTTTAAATTCTGTAAAGTACATAAACCAGATAATTACTATACTGTACACTGTGATCAGGAACCACTGACTTATAGGGTATACTGTTAAAAAGCTCGAGTAAACTGGATAGGGAATATTAAGTTGTATTCCTTAAATTATGGATGTTCAAGTGATATTTATGTACAAGGTATTTAATTGTTCATTGCTTTAAGATTGAATTTCTTACCAGATAGAATGCTGAATTTTTTCAAAATAACAATATCAAGTACTGTAAATTCAGAAATTATTGACATCATTTATTTTTGTGATTCTTAAGAATGGACAAAAATGCAAGATTTATCATTGCAATTTCAGGAAAATCTGCATACAGATGAATGTATCAGATATCAAAATTAGAGTTATTATTGCGATACTCATCTAGTCACATTATTCGCAATAATAAAAACCTCACAATCATTTCTGCATTTACAGTATCCAAGAAAGCACATTTTTTCCTCAATCCACAAAATATAGTATCTACAAAAATAAAAGAATTCTCAGTAACTAATGATCATAAATTCATTGTGTTTAGCAAAAATGATCAGCAATACAAGATCTACAAAAATGCTGATTAATGACTCAAACTATCAATAGACTCTGCAACAGAATTATAACCCTTAATTGGCTGTAAAGACTTTATAAACTTTTGAGGTTGTTGGGTATGATCTTTAACTGTAAAATTGAATTTAAACAAGCAAATTGAGATGTGAATGTCATTTCATTGGTCCTTGATATTGTGATGAGTACTTTGTGGAGGGTTTTTATACGTCCGTCAGAAATGTCCGGCGTCCGCCTGTCTGTCGTAAACATGTCGCACCGTAACTTGAGAACAACTTATCCAAATTTCATGAAACTTAACATAGTTGTTTCTTATGATGATCAAACGATCTGTATACTTTTTGGTGAAAATAAGATTAAAACTTTTTGAGTTACAGGACTTTGTAACTAAAACAGGGGTGTGTTTTTTTCATATGTCGCGCCGTATCTAAAAAACAATTTATGATTATTGCTTAAAACTTTACACACTTCTTAGTTATATTAATCTAAAGATCTGTATACTTTTTGGTGATGATTCAAAATTTTATTTTAGAGTTATTGAGTTTTTTGTAAAAAAAGGGGGGGGGGGGGGGTTTTACATGTCGCGCCATATTTCAGAAACTATTTATGATTATTGCATAAAACTTTCACACACAAGACAACGGACGTATCATGTGCTGGTGGCGCAGCTGTTTATTTGAAATAATGATGGGGATGGAGGTCTTGGAAGTTTCCTCCCCCCCAAAAAAAAATTTGATCCAGATTTACTGTGTGTAAATAAATGATATGAATCTGAATAAATATTTAATTGAATGCTTTAGAAAAGCTGGTTATTTTTCAAACAAGTAATTTAATACTTAATACTAAATTGATACCAACACTGAAATGGAAATTTAATATGTTAATGATAAATATAGTAAAGTTGAACAGTGTTATGTTAAGACATCATAAAGGAAGCAAATAGGAACCAAATAATAGTAATATTTTTACATTAAGTAATGTTTAAAAATCAACGGTTGTCTCCCTTTACACTATTAGAATTTATCAGATTATTATCACTAAATGTATCTTAAAATTTTCCAAAACTTTCTGTTAAGAATACTGTTGATATATTGGTGGCAAAATGGTTTAAATATTTCAACTATCAGTGATCAGTAGACCGACCCTCAACTCTGAGGTTCAAACCCTGGATTACCAACTTTCCTGCTGAAGGTCATGGTTCTCTACGGGTATACAAGTTTTCTCCACTAAAGAAAGCTGACTGTCATGTTTATAAAATCAAATTGGCCATTGAAACACCAACAAAAAAAACAAACTACAATGTATACACATTACTTAACTGGAAAAAGCTTTTTATTGTAGAATGTTACCTGAGACAAAAGGCTATCTTTATGTGTTAGGACAAGACAACCCTTTAGCTGAAATGAAGGTGAGTCTTCTGAATAAAGGGGGAGGGGAAAGGCTATCTTTATGTGTTAGGACAAGACAACCCTTTAGCTGAAATGAAGGTGAGTCTTCTGAATAAAGGGGGAGGGGAAAGGCTATCTTTATGTGTTAGGACAAGACAATCCTTTAGCTGAAATGAAGGTGAGTCTACTGAATAAAGGGGGAGGGGAAAGGCTATCTTTATGTGTTAGGACAAGACAACCCTTTAGCTGAAATGTAGGTGAGTCTACTGAATAAAGGGGGAGGGGAAAGGCTATCTTTATGTGTTAGGACAAGACAACCCTTTAGCTGAAATGAAGGTGAGTCTTCTGAATAAAGGGGGAGGGGAAAGGCTATCTTTATGTGTTAGGACAAGACAACCCTTTAGCTGAAATGAAGGTGAGTCTACTGAATAAAGGGGGAGGGGAAAGGCTATCTTTATGTGTTAGGACAAGACAACCCTTTAGCTGAAATGAAGGTGAGTCTACTGAATAAAGGGGGAGGGGAAAGGCTATCTTTATGTGTTAGGACAAGACAACCCTTTAGCTGAAATGAAGGTGAGTCTACTGAATAAAGGGGGAGGGGAAAGGCTATCTTTATGTGTTAGGACAAGACAACCCTTTAGCTGAAATGAAGGTGAGTCTACTGAATAAAGGGGGAGGGGAAAGGCTATCTTTATGTGTTAGGACAAGACAACCCTTTAGCTGAAATGAAGGTGAGTCTACTGAATAAAGGGGGAGGGGAAAGGCTATCTTTATGTGTTAGGACAAGACAACCCTTTAGCTGAAATGAAGGTGAGTCTACTGAATAAAGGGGGAGGGGAAAGGCTATCTTTATGTGTTAGGACAAGACAACCCTTTAGCTGAAATGTAGGTGAGTCTACTGAATAAAGGGGGAGGGGAAAGGCTATCTTTATGTGTTAGGACAAGACAACCCTTTAGCTGAAATGAAGGTGAGTCTACTGAATAAAGGGGGAGGGGAAAGGCTATCTTTATGTGTTAGGACAAGACAACCCTTTAGCTGAAATGAAGGTGAGTCTACTGAATAAAGGGGGAGGGGAAAGGCTATCTTTATGTGTTAGGACAAGACAACCCTTTAGCTGAAATGAAGGTGAGTCTACTGAATAAAGGGGGAGGGGAATGGCTATCTTTATGTGTTAGGACAAGACAACCCTTTAGCTGAAATGAAGGTGAGTCTACTGAATAAAGGGGGAGGGGAATGGCTATCTTTATGTGTTAGGACAAGACAACCCTTTAGCTGAAATGTAGGTGAGTCTACTGAATAAAGGGGGAGGGGAAAGGCTATCTTTATGTGTTAGGACAAGACAACCCTTTAGCTGAAATGTAGGTGAGTCTACTGAATAAAGGGGGAGGGGAAAGGCTATCTTTATGTGTTAGGACAAGACAACCCTTTAGCTGAAATGTAGGTGAGTCTACTGAATAAAGGGGGAGGGGAAAGGCTATCTTTATGTGTTAGGACAAGACAACCCTTTAGCTGAAATGAAGATGAGTCTACTGAATAAAGGGGGAGGGGAAAGGCTATCTTTATGTGTTAGGACAAGACAACCCTTTAGCTGAAATGAAGGTGAGTCTACTGAATAAAGGGGGAGGGGAAAGGCTATCTTTATGTGTTAGGACAAGACAACCCTTTAGCTGAAATGTAGGTGAGTCTACTGAATAAAGGGGGAGGGGAAAGGCTATCTTTATGTGTTAGGACAAGACAACCCTTTAGCTGAAATGTAGGTGAGTCTACTGAATAAAGGGGGAGGGGAATGGCTATCTTTATGTGTTAGGACAAGACAACCCTTTAGCTGAAATGAAGATGAGTCTACTGAATAAAGGGGGAGGGGAAAGGCTATCTTTATGTGTTAGGACAAGACAACCCTTTAGCTGAAATGTAGGTGAGTCTACTGAATAAAGGGGGAGGGGAATGGCTATCTTTATGTGTTAGGACAAGACAACCCTTTAGCTGAAATGAAGATGAGTCTACTGAATAAAGGGGGAGGGGAAAGGCTATCTTTATGTGTTAGGACAAGACAACCCTTTAGCTGAAATGTAGGTGAGTCTACTGAATAAAGGGGGAGGGGAATGGCTATCTTTATGTGTTAGGACAAGACAACCCTTTAGCTGAAATGAAGATGAGTCTACTGAATAAAGGGGGAGGGGAAAGGCTATCTTTATGTGTTAGGACAAGACAACCCTTTAGCTGAAATGTAGGTGAGTCTACTGAATAAAGGGGGAGGGGAATGGCTATCTTTATGTGTTAGGACAAGACAACCCTTTAGCTGAAATGAAGATGAGTCTACTGAATAAGAGAGAGGGGAAAAGGACATAATTTCCCTTCCTTTCACCTCCCACTTTTATTCAATAAAGATGAGTCTAAAGAAAATGATTTGATGGGGAAAGATAGATAATTATTTCCCTTTCCTTTACCTCCCACTTTTATGCCATAAAGATAAGTCCAAAGGAAATGGATTGTTGTGGAAAGACAGCCATTATTTCTCTTCCCTTTAACCACCACTTCCATCTAATTAAGGTCAGGGTAAAGGAAAGGTGTGATGGGGAAAAAAGTAGTTATTTTTCTCCCAATATTCCAATATTTTCCATTACAATGTACTATCCAATGAAGGCGAGTCATTTTCACACTGCTCCTTTTACATCTGCTTTTACATTTTATACCCAGTTCCCTGTTTTCTGTCTACTAGGTTAACAATTTTAATTCATAATCATCTCTTTATTTTCTTCAGTTATCATATCATTGTGTCTAATATTATGATGATCTTTAAAATTTTCAGTTATTCCCCACCTATCAAACAAAGTTTTTGTGGGTATATAGGAATCACCCTGTCTGTTCGTTTCATCTGTCCATGTGCCTTGTCAGCACAATTTCTTCTAACTGGCTAGACAGATATTAATTAAAATTTTACACAGCTGTAGAACTACCTGAGTATGTACATAATAAAGGGGAGATAATCTAATTCAGGATATTAATAGTATTGCTAGGCTAGGGATATCACTATTGAATGCAATTGAAAATATGCTTCTCTAAAACCACTAAGAATATAGTACAATGTAATTCGATGCTACCTTTTTGTTAAATTTTATTTCATATTTCATGTTGAAAGGGGGTTATTTTATGTGTATTGGTACATTGGTAGGAATACACATAACATATTTGAATTTGTTTAGCACTGTAGTGTCTGTAATTTGATAACCCTTATCTGTGTGCTACAAATTATAAAGGCCCTTTAATTAGAAATAAAGAATTTTGCTATTTTTTTTTTATTTTTGTAGGAAGGGGAGGGGGTCCTATATAATAACAGTAACAATCAAAGATTTGACATTAAGAACTAATTATTCTAATAATGAAAAACATAAACATAAGACATATGACAACTACTGTTCAGGTTCCTGGCTTCTTAATAGGCACATGAATGGGGCAGGATTAAATCACTTTTGATATCTCAACCCTCCCCCTTTTTCTGCCCCCACTGTAGACAACAGTTACAGGGGTATTAAGTGTTACCGTTGACTTTCTTTCCATCCTTTTGTTCGTCTTTCTGTCCATCCCATTTCACTTTCCGCACTCTAACTTGTGTTTTCTTCATCCAAATTTTATGAAACCCATACACAATGCTAAGAACCAAAACTTGCAGACAGAGTTCGAATTTGGCCTGTGAGTCACTTACCTTTCTAAAGTTATGCCCCTTTATAACTTGGAAAATCACTAATTTGTTCATTTCCGCACTCTAATTTAAGTTTTTCTCATCCAAATTTTATGAAACTCATACACAATGCTAAGAACTAAACTTCGCAGACAGAGCTCAAATTTGGCCAGTGAGTCACTAAACGTTATGCCTCTTTTTAACTTGAAAATTTGCAAAGCTTCAGCGAGGGCATTCGTATCCTCAGACACATTCTTCTTTTATTTAATCTCAATCAGTTGATTAAAGCAACACACATCTGTTTCAGTACACAAAAGATCTGAAGGAAATGGATGGAAAAATTATAGAATGTTCATTTGATGGACAGCATTGGAAATTCATGAGACAGAGAACGGATAAATCATTTCCTAACAGCATTAAAACTGCTCAAGGTAAGAATTCTATAGTTTTTATAACTTGATTTTATGTGAAGAGAGTGTGAGCTTGAGAGCTGATATGGATTTTCAGCATTGGAAATTCATGAAACAGAGAACCGACAAATCATTTCCTAACATCATTTAAACTGCTCAAGGTAAGAATTGTTTAGTGTTAATAGCTTTATATTATGTAAGGAGAGTGTGAGCTAGAGAGCTGATATGGATTGACATGAAATTGAAATGTGAGGCAGACAAATCATTTCTTAGCATGTATGTAAGAGTTATATGTACTGTTCCTAAAAGAGGGGCGAAAGATACCAGAGGGACATTCAAACTCATAAATCGAAAATAAACTGACAACGCCATGGCTAAAAAAGAAAAAGACAAACAGACAAACAATAGTACACAAAACACAACATAGAAAACTAAAGACTAAGCAACATGAACCCCACCAAAAACTGGGGGTGATCTCAGGTGCTCCGGAAGGGTAAGCAGATCCTGCTCCACATGTGGCACCCGTCGTGTTGCTCAAGCTAGTACAAACCCGTTAAATAGTCTAATTTGGTAGGTCACTTTCGTGAAAAGGGAACGGGATTGTAGTTACGACATTAGGAACATATCCGCTATCATCTGTGAAACGGATATTCCATAACGGTCAACCAGCTTGTGATGGCGTCCGTAAAATTTATGAAGGGATGATTTCAACTTCACCATTTGGAACTCTTGGTTTAATAGCTTCCTTGTGAGCAGCAACCCTCTATCAAAGAAATCATAACTTGATTTTTATGTGAGGAGAGTATGAACTTGAAAGCCAATAATAATGGGAGAATAATGTATGAAGAATTAATAAAAAAATGAATCCCTTATTGTTTATAATAATACATGTATTAAAAGACATGAATCAGCATAGACAGTTATAGCATATCAGATAAAAGTACATTTTTTATGTTTCTTTTTTAGGTGTCTGGGGGAGTATACAATCACCAGTTACAAAAGACATTTTATTTCAAGTTGTTGAAGTGGAGAGATTTGTGCCTCCCCAAAAACAACCAAGTGACCTAATGCCACCCCCTGCTAAATTACCACGTAGATGATAGTCCTCATGTGATTTTACTGTTGTCTAAAATGTTATTCAAGTGATGATATACAATGTCATTCTGGCAAAATGCCAGCCGGCTGGACAGGATGTCGTCAAATGCATAAATAAATGTTAACAATATAGATATTTTCAGGTCTTTAAATACAGGTTTGGAATTCTGGATTCAATTATTAAAATTGAAGTGGATGGTGTAAAAATTTGCAGTAATGATTTATTGCGTATTGCTCTACAAATTATCCTTATTTTGTTCTTATTGGATTACAAACATGGCAGCCACATGTAAAAATATTTAGAAATTTTGCAGTAATGATGTATGACATGTTCTCTACAAATTATCCTTCAGGGGAGTATTTAGGGGGATCGGGGCCCATGCCTCTTTATGGAGCTTCATACATGATAAATGCATAGAATTTTTACAAGTTTCACTTCAAACATTTGCTTGCCAGGCCCCGTTTCAGGACACTAATTTAAGTATTAGAGTATGGATATATATGAAATTTTACTACAAGGATCCATACTTTAAAAGGAAATTTGGGATTGATTTTAGGGGTCATGGTCCAAACAGTTTAATAATAAGGGGCTAAAAAAGGGGCCTTTTTCAAAATCCTGGATCCACATCTTCTGCTTAATTGTATGCAGATTGGATGACAAACATGGTAGCCACTGATAGCCACTGGTAGTCACTGGTAGACACAGGTAAACAAATTTGAAATTTTGCAGTTATGAGGTATGGCATGTTCTCTACAGACTATCCTCATTTTTAGTTCAGATAAGTTGATAAACATGGCAGCCAAAGTGTAAAACTAGAACATAGGGGTAAGCTGCATTTTTTTTGCTTTTATCTCAAAAACTGAAGCAGTAAGTGTAAAACTGATATGGATTAAATTATCATTAGATTCATTTGCCATGAATTTAAAAAAAAAGATGAGAACAAACTTTTTCAAGATATTGCCACTGAAATGTCTATTTTATGCAAATTTCCCAGTTTTGGCTACTATCTTGAAAACTATTACAGATAAAGAGAAACTTTAAATAGATTAATTGATTGATTGGTGTTTAACATCACTTTTAAGCACGATTGTGCTATTTCGTGGTGGTCAGTTTGTATTGGTAGAGGAAGCTGAAGAGAACCATGACCTTCTGTTGGAAAACAGACAATCCTAGGCAATTAAGATTGGAGTGGAGCACACCTGCCACGTGTGGGATTCTAACTGACAATCTCAGCGTAGACTACTTAGACCACTTGGCCACCGAGTCCCTGGAGTGGAGCACACCTGCCACGTGTGGGATTCCAACTGACAATCTCAGTGTAGATTACTTAGACCACTTGGCCACCGAGTCCCCTAACTTTAAATGAAAAAAAATGACCATTTCAACAAGATCTACAAATAAAACAACATTGCAGAAATTGTCAGTCAAATCTCGTGTTTTTAAGAATTAATGCTTTAACTGATGATTTTACCCATTTTTGTGTTTTTGGCTATATTCTACTAAACCTCAAGAGGCAAGATCTACAAAACATTCAGGGGACCAAAATTGTCAGCTAACTAGAGCTAATTATTGCCCTGCAATGATGATTATCATTTTAAAATTATTTTTTATTATGGCCCGTCCGCTAGGCAAAGGTTTACCCTTGTCCATTTGTATGTCAGTCGTTAGACATTCCGAAATTGGTTTCCATTCTCTAACTTTAATTTCTGTCAAGCCGCCAAGAAACTTATACACAATAGTAATTACCACCAAACACAGATCAAAATGTGATTTGGATGGCGTCACATTCACTGTTCTAGAGTTACATCATTACTGTTTATTATTGAACAATGAGAGCACTTTAACACCTGAGTAATCTCTAATGACAACATACAGAAACAAATGTCATTAAGTTTCAAAGAAAACAAAACATCAATAGGTTTGAATTATTACATTGACTTGCATATTTACAAGCGGGGGTGTCTGTGTCCCATGGACACATTCTTCTTTTATTTTGACAAAAACTAAGATATAAATCAGCATACAAATAAATGAGAATGGCTAAAATGATCTATTAATTCTTTATAGGAATCATTGTCCATAAATGTTGGTTTTTGCTATTATCTTAAAAATAATAACAGATAGCGAGAAATTTCAAGCAGCGAAATGATAAGCTGTACAAGATGTACAAAAAATCCAAAAAACTGAAATGGTCAGTGCACTCCTTTAAGTTTAGGATTATTACCCATTATTATACTGATTTTAAAAGATTATAACACAATGTTGACTGCTGTACCTCTATTTTTGACATTTTTACCTATTGTGTCTGTTTGTTTTGTTCACGCATCGTTGTCAATATAATGGAATTTGATGCAATTGCCATACAAGTGAGAGGTTTAGCTAGCTATAAAACCAGGTTCAATCCACCATTTTCTACATAAGAAAATGCCTGTACCAAGTCAGGAATATGACAGTTGTTATCCATTCGTTTGATGTGTTTGAGCTTTTGATTTTGCCATTTGATTAGGGACTTTCCTTTTTGAATTTTCCTCGTAGTTCAGTATTTTTTTTATTTTACTTTTTACTATAAGAAAGAGATACTATGAACAGCAAAATATAATCTACAACTTAGTCAACATGTCTGAAATTGTCAACCCAGTCCTTATAGGAGATATATCTCTACAATGATGAGGGAAATTGTCAACTCAGTCCTTATAGGAGATATATCTCTACAATGATGAGGGAAATTGTCAACCCAGTCCTTATAGGAGATATATCTCTACAATGATGAGGGAAATTGTCAACCCAGTCCTTATAGGAGATATATCTCTACAATGATGAGGGAAATTGTCAACCCTGTCCTTATAGGAGATATATCTCTACAATGATGAGGGAAATTGTCAACC